TAATTATAACCCATTTTCTCTTGGCTTATGATTTGTAACAATAATAATTATAACCCATTTTCTCTTGGCTTACAGAATTCCAGAGAAATGCATGTTGTTTTATTATTAGAATGTAAATATTCATCACCGTTACCGTACTTTTGGTTTGTTAGTTACGTGATTTCTTTCACTTCTATATATATATATATATTCTACGTAAAGCTACGTGTGTATGTTTTCATCATCATTCACATAATCTCCATATTAGAAATGATTTTGAAAGGACAAAAAACTTACATTTGCGTAAGCTTGTGATACTACTTTAGTGCTGGCCACCCCAAGTAATGGAAATAAGACGATGGGTATCAGAGCTGTAACAGGAAGTGGAACTGGTTCCGTCATCCAGAACACTGCCATCACGATGATAACGTAGGCACATTTGGCTTCCTTGTAAAGAGAATACTTAGATTATTCTGTGTTTTAAGTATTAACTACGAGCGCCATTTAGGTAGGATAAGCGGGGGGACAGTTCCGCCTTTCCTGGAGCTTAATATTAATTGTTTATTTCGGGAACAATACAAACAAAATAGTTTGCGCTGTTTGAACGATAATTAAATAACACAGGAAATTATCAGAACAAGCATTCCTAAAATAGACTAATTTTAACCTTTAAAACCTAAATCCCCTGCACGTCCTATAAAAGATGCTCCCCCTCTGTTGAAGTCTGAAATGGTGCTTTTGGTTTTAACGAAGAGGAAAAGCAAAAATAATCAAAGAATATTTGCGCTGTTTTAAAAGAAATTTCGACTTTGGGGTATTAAAACAATCCACTGTACTTGAATTATCGGGATGTTGAGAGCGTCATGTGGAAGTGCAGTCAATGTTTTAAGAAGAAGATTGTGTGTGTTTTTCAGCAAGATTTCTCGAAAACGGTAGAATGGATTTGGACGAAAGGTGGTACACATTTAGACTATGGCCCAACTTAGAAGTGACTAGTTTTTGGAGGGTCAAGGTCACAAAAATCTCTGTCTGTTAATACTATTTTTGCTCTATAACTCAATCAAAAATGATCGGATTTTGATGAAACTTGGTGGACATTTGTGGAATGTTTTTCCCTCATTATCCAGAATGGTCGGTGTTCGTTGAGAGCGATGAACATACGGACACATTTTCGTATTTTTTGAGAGCCGAATATGATCAACACTGCGTGGCGGAGGTATGAGTGCTCCTCTAGTTTTAACAATGAAACCAGTGAAAGGTTGCCTATAAATGTGTGTGTATTTTAAGGAAATAGCCTATTCAAGTGAAAAAAAGAAGGCATATTTGTCTTGTTTGAGAAAGTTTTTAGAAACAGAAGCATGTAAAGAAATTAAATCAAGTTCAACAATGATTCACAATGTTATAGTATAAACGTTTTTTCCAAGGTTGCCTAGTAAGTACTAATGTCCTGTAACAAATATAACGAATATAGTCAGATAATTACATATTATTAACAGAATCGTTGCCTAAATCAAACTTGGTGGACAGAAATAAAATCACTTCTCGTATCTAATGGCTGTGTAAGATTGTTGGTTTTTCTGGATATTTATACAAGGACTATCTTAACTAGCCACCCTTAATCTTGAACTGATAAACTAGAAAGAAGGCAGTTTGTCAACAGCTCCAGCCCCAACTCTTGGGCTACTCTAATAGAAAAGTCATTGTTATAAATCACCGACAGCCCTGAATTATGGAACGTGATTTTGATCTGATCGAACTCAATTCTGAGATTCACAGTACAGCACGTTATGCACTAAGCTACACATAAGACAGAGTTGATTAAGATGTACACATGTTTACAAGAGAAGGATTATATTTTTGACGTATCGAAGGACATTTGTTATTTGTAATCTATTCAACATCCTTGGTTTTTAATAAGTTTAATGTCACGTGTAGTAATGGTTATTTAAAATACTTTCACCCCTTCTGGTTTATTATATCGTCATGTGTAATAAATGTTATTTGAAGACTTCTTGCTATTCTTGGTTCTTTAGTGACTATATTGTCCTGTGTTATTTGAAGACTTCTTGCTATTCTTGGTTCTTTAGTGACTATATTGTCCTGTGTTATTGGAAGACTTTTTGCTATTCTTGGTTCTTTAGTGGCTATATTGTCCTGTGTTATTTGAAGACTTCTTGCTATTCTTGGTTCTTTAGTGACTATATTGTCCTGTGTTATTTGAAGACTTCTTGCTATTCTTGGTTCTTTGGTGACTATATTGTCCTGTGTTATTTGAAGACTTCTTGGTTCTTTAGTGACTATATTGTCCTGTGTTATTTGAAGACTTCTTGGTTCTTTAGTGACTATATTGTCCTGTGTTATTTGAAGACTTCTTGCTATTCTTGGTTCTTTAGTGAGTATATCGTCATGCATCGTAACTGTTATAGCATCGCCACGACAAAAACCTTGGAGGTCAGTCTCTAACCAACCTCATAACAAGTCCCACATTTCTTCTCCTATTGCCCATTTTGTTTTGTTTTTCTTTTGCTTCACCTCACTGACATGATTCGTAACCTGTTTGATTACCTAAGTCTAATATTGTGTAACACACCTTCATCAACTGAAAATGGGTTCATCTCGGATTTGTAAAGACAAGAAATAAGAAACAACAAGAACAATGTGTTTGAAACAGGGGATCATATCAAGCAGAACACACAAAAACAAAACCACTAATCAACTCTTTGTTATGTACATCAGTTTGATAAAAATACAGTTCCAACTCAATGCACTTTCTAAAATTGAAGGTTGGACAGGAATCTTTAAATGTCAAGCCAACAGTTGACTCCTTATGTTCAGGAATGTCGTAAGCATGTTGTGAAATAGTTCTGATAACAACAACAACAAATAAAAAAAAAACACTGGTAACACACCAATATTATAATGCACAAACGGTTAAATAATTAACAAAATATAATAAAACGTCTAGTTTCGATACACCAAACTTGTCATTCTCAAGATACTTTTTTTTAAAGTCACTATGACCACAATGTCTTGTTCGTTCAGGTTTAATTCGATCAGATTTGTCAACGTCCGCTGACTAATTAGAAGAAAAAAAAAGTCTTCCAATTTGGAGTTGAAGTCTGATTTCATTTCATTACTGAGCATGTTTGGGAAGTTAACATTACGAAAACATGCACAATAGTAAAATGTGTCCCGATCTCAGCCCCAATTGGAAGTCACTTTTTACTCGTAATGCCAATACCCCAAATTCAGCACTATTACAAGCTAAACATAATGTCAAATCCCATAATTCAGTGTTGCTACAAACTAAATGTAATGTGAAATCCTTAAGTTCAGTGTCTTACAAACTAAACATAATGTCAGTTCCCCAAATTCATTGTTGTTACAAACTAAATATAATGTCAAATTTCCAAATTCATTGTTGTAGCAAGCTTAATATAAATTTTAACAGTCCTAAGTATGCTGTCGACTCATCGAAACATAGTAATTTTTTCAAATTCAGTATTGTTACCAACTAAACATAATGTCAACTCTCCAAATATTTTTGTTATAAACAAAATAGAAAGTCA